CCCTACACCCCAAACCCTAAATCCTCAACACTAAACCCTTTCCTACACTTGCACAGTCGAAGCCCAAAGGCTGGAAACCCAATAGCGTCCATCCTCAAGAGTAATGTATAGGGAATCCCAGCACTTGTTGTCCTTAATCCGGTTTCCGACTTTTTGAGATCCTAAACCCTAAACCCTAAATAAACCCTGAACGCTAAATCCGATATGCTGCAGGTACAAGAAGCACGAAGCATCCTTCTGGACTGCGGAGGAGATCGATTTGGCTCAGGACTTTCCGCATGCCTAAACCATCACGATTGCTAGAGTGCTCCATCATCCCATCATTGTTCTTGCGTAGTTCAAGCCGTTGTGCTATTCCGAAGTGTAGCATTGCACCTGTCACTTTTGAAACAATCAGACTTTTTTCTACGGTCATAGGGAACCCACGTTTAGAACACAAAGCATGTTCCAGGGTTTGGGATTCAGGAGCTCGAGTTTTGAGTTAGGCAGGCCTAGTTTGTCTGAAGCTTCCAGACTTTGTTGAGCGCAAGTGTTTCAAGTTTCTCGCGAATGCACTGCGTTTCATGTGTGGCTTCCCAGAGCCCCCAATACCCCTTAATTAAAGAATATACCTTAAATCATATTAGGGATCCTACTATAATTTAAGGTATATTCCTTAATTAAGGGACATTGGAGTCTCTGGGCTCCGGGGCAGGGGGCAGGGGGTGCAGGGAGGCAGGCGAAGGCTGGCGGTGGGTGGGACTCCCTACAGAGAGCCCAGATCCAGGTTTAGGGTTTAGGGTTTAGGGTTTCACTGGAGGAGGCGAGATTTCACCGCAGGACCTTGGGGCTCATTTATGGGTTCACACAGACGAACCCGGATGACCCTTTTGAGGGTGGGGGTCACTAGGGAGGGGATTAAGAGGTGGGGAATAGAGGGAATCCGAATAGGGCCGAGGCGAACTACCAATACTATTCTGGTTCTTTACTATAAAGATATAGTATAGTATAATATACCCGAAAACCCTACTATAATTATTCAGGCCTCTACATTGTTTCGATTCGACTTTTTATCCATCCTCAGTAGCTCTCCCAAGGAGCGTCTTCTATTGACTTGCTTGGGTTTAGGGGCCTGCGGCTTATGGGCCAAGGATCTATAGAAACCATAGGGCCTCTAGGGGCTCAGGCTCTGGGACTTCGGTGTTAAGAACCAGGATTCAGGGGGCGCAGGTTTCGGGGTGGGTTGAAGGTATTGAGCCCTGTCCACTGCCAGGTATCGGGTTCGGGGTCTCAGGATGTAGCCCTAAACCCTAAACCCTAAACCCCTAAACCTAGTCGTGGTTGAGTTCTTCCTTATCCAGGTTCAGGTGACTTGAATAGAGCCTTGTACGACCCTATTAACCTTACAGAACCTTGTAAAGCACTATCCAACAAGCGCGGTCTGTGTTGGCCCAGCAGGACAGCAAGGATTGGGTGAACCTGAATGAGGGCTGGGACCTGAGCTGAATGTGGGTTTTGAGGGATTCCTGGGGGGGTTGATCCCTAAACTCTAAACCCTAAACCCTAAATCCTTGTTTCTGTGGGGCTTTAAGGCATTATAGTGGTTTCATAAGGGCGCTCGTGTCCCAGGGTGTAGGGTTGATTTGTCGGACCTGGCGTATCATTTTTTTGATCATGTTTTTGTTGTAAATGTTTACTGGACATGGAGGTCGGGCTCAAGCGCTTTTGGTTCTAGTGAGCGACGTGGTAGAATTTCAGCCCCCGCCGACACAATTACTGCTGACTTCGAATTCCTTGGCCCCCTTTACTTTATCCTGCAGGTAACCTGCATCCTTGGCAATACATAGACCTTGAACACTAAGCAGTGAGCCCTAAACAACCCCTAATCCCGAAACCCTCAACCTAAGCCACCCAAACCATAGGTGACGAAAGGGGCCTCAACAATTACAACAGGGTTGTGGGGGTTCGTTATTATAACTATGGTATAATATACACCCAAATCCTGTTTTAATATAAAGACCGGCCAGGGAATTTAGCAACTAGGTCAACCACTCCAAACATGACCTTTGATGCCGTATTTACATAGCAGGAAACGACCAGCCTGCTTTGTGTCTTTTGCGAGGACATCATCCACACAGAACGAAGGTGCATGTTCCAGTTTGTTGCTGATAGCAAATAAGTAACAGTATCCCCTATATAGCCCATGTAACAGCGGAGCGTAATCACTACACCGATATGAGTCTTCAGAGACAGGCGAGCAGCACTTCATCAAGCACGTTCTTGCCTTTTTCGCTGCCTCGGATGGTATCGTCCTGGAGAACCTGGCGTCGCAGCGGCTCGGCTTTGCTGGCGTCTGCTGGTTGTGCTCCAGGGTTTGGGGCTTTGATGTTATACCCAGAGGTCCATGTACCTAGATAGTATATACATTGGCCCTAAAGTACCTATAGAGGGACTACATTAATGCCGATGTATACACTACTTGGGTACATGGACCCTTAGGGATAGAAAGGTTTGTTGCTTGAGGGGTCTCGTGGTTGTCAAGGGGACTTCGGGTTTTTAACTGGATTAAGCAGCTCAGTCTGTTCGGGATTTTGGGTATCAGGCTTCGGTGTTGCCGCGGGGGTTAGGACTAAGGGATCATAGGGCACACTGCTGATTGAATTTAGGGGTTATTGGTGGGAAGTTGCGGATACTTAGTAGGTACGTATACCTTGGGATAGAAGCTCGCGGTGTCTTTCAGCGGTAGACGCAGCTGATACATAGAGTTTAGAGCAATGGTTGCATTGGAAAGGACCGCATCTCGGAGTGGTCTAACCATAAGTGACAGTTTAGAGCATATACCTTAAACCTGCACCCTTTGCAGTACAGCTCTCTGGAGTTGTGTCTGTGTCGTGCCGGTGTCAATCCGTTGATACGAGCTGGGTCGGTTTAGGGTTTAAGGTTCGAGAATTCGTAACTTGGCTAAGTACGCTATACCCGGAACTCCGAAATCCCATAGCGCTGATATAGGGGTCGACACGATTGCCAATACCATTTCTTAGTCTTAGCATCATAGCTACCTTGTCATACTGTTGATGGTATAAACCCTGCATCTTAAGGACCCTAAACTATGGGAATTATGGTATAACATGTTCCTTATTATGGGCAATGCAGGTTTTATATCATCAACCCTAAACCCTAAGCCCTAGTG